TGATGAATTATTAATATTATTACGTGATGGTATTGACCGTGCCAGTTAGGACAGCTCATGAAAGTAATAGCGGATGTTATATCGGGGATTTTACTAGCCATAAATATACCACGGACCCGAGTATTTTTTAATTCCGTAAGAATCCCGGGCACTAAAATTTGAGCCCGATAGAGAGTAGTTGGGGAAAGAGCAAGTGTCGTTTTCGACTACGGAAGCATCGGTAATGCGGATAGTGTAGTTGGCGTAGTTGATCGATTGTACGAGGTATTTTTGAGAGTTGAGGTATAGTGAAGTTGTATTGTTTTCGCATGAAAGTTCGTATTTGGGATGACCGCAGCGTTTTGGATCGGTATTGAGCCTGAAAGGATAGCTAATGTTGCGAATTTCGCCACATGAAGAAGGGGTGCAGTTGATTTGGTTTCCATGCGATTTTTGGATGAAATACAATTGGGTGGTGATGAAGAAATAAATAAATTTGAGGAGGAGTCTTTGGCTGATGATATACATCTATGTATGAAATTTTTGGTGATTAATTTGAAAAGATAGAGCTATGTTTGAGGATGATTGTTTGAGGTTGCAGAATATGATGAATCACTCATCATATGATGGGGGAGAGAAGACTATAGTGTGAATAGTCGAATTCTGTTTTTTTTTTCTTTTTTTTTTTGTCTTCTTACAATAATTGAGAAAATAATTAATTCACTACTAGGACCACACCACACCCATCGTCGTCGTAGCTTCCTTTTATTAAATGCAGTCAATTTTGTCTTCATTGATTTTTTTAAAAGAATTTATGTATACTTTTCAAAATCCAATTCTTACTTTCTTAAATTTTAGAAGATGTTGTAATGCTATATTAAATAGGGGTTAGGTAAATGAGGATGGACTGTCCCCACTAGATAATCTATTGGTTGGAGTAAGTAAGTTTGTATTAATTGACCATCTAGGTTTATCCAGTTCACATATATAGTTACAGATTTCTTCATTAATAAAAAAATAAGGATCGACACATCCGGTTTCTCATTTTAATGAGAACCCTCAATTTATTTAGTTATATAAACATTTAGCAAAAAACATTAACCAAAAAAAAGTTCAATATCGGAGAACAGTTAACATCTCACCCGTCGAAAAAAAAAATAGAAAAATCAAAGTCGGAGCTCGGCAGGCAATCCTAATCAGTGACTGGAAAAAAAAGTTCATAATTTTTTTTCAAGAAATTGTGAAAATGAGGGTTAATGTGATATATTTGTTAAAAGAGTTTATTATACATAAGCCCTCCATGGGCTACTTATTCATCAAAGGATCCAAACCAAAAACTATTTTACAAAAAAGTCCAGACAATGTTCAGAGGTATGTAAATGACTAAAATACCTCTCACATTATAATACACTCCAATGTCATTATATAATCCAATTTAACATTAATTTGACCCCAAATTTTACCAATTATTCAAGTTTGACCCATAACCCAATTTTGACCGTCGCCGGCGTTGACAACCGGTCTCCCGCCTTGACTCTTTTTTTTTTTTTTTATGTTTTTAATGGGGTTAATCTCAAAAAGGCCCATGACAAGGGCACTTAACTCAAAGAGGGACATCCAATTTTATTGTCTTTCAAAAAATCCAGTTTGTTTAAACTTATTTACAAATAAGGGAAATCCTTTCATATTAAAAAAATTACAATCAATTCGTTGAAACCCAATTCAACTCCAATTTCATGATTTACACCCCAATTTAGCGCAATTTCACAAATTAAACCAATTTTAACCCTAATTTCAATTTTGACCCCAATTTTGACCCGCCACCACCGGAGACCGTTGGTCAACCGCCGTTGAAGCCGGGTCTCCGGCGTTGACTTTTTGTTTTTCCTTCTTTTTTTCTAAAAAAAATATTTTAATTAATATTACTGAGTTGCTTGCTAAATTATTGTCTCCAGCAGTTATTGAACTGTCGGAGACAGTAATTTAACTGGTAATTGCATTTTTTTTCTTAATTTTTTTTAGTTAATATTACTGTCTTAGCTGCTAAATAACTGTCTCCAACAGTTATTTAACTGTCGGAGACAGTAATTTAACTGTTAATTGACTTCTTTTTTTCTTCAAAAAATATTTTAATTAATATTGTTGTCTTGGCTGCTAAATTATTGTCTCCAGCAGTTATTTAACTGCCGGAGACAGTAATTTAACTGTTAATTGACTCTTTTTTTCTTAATTTTTTTTAAATCAATATTAATGTCTTGGCTGCTAAACTACTGTCTCTAGTAGTTATTTAACTGTCGGAGACTGTAATTTAACTGTTACTTGACCTTTTTTTTCTTAAAAAAATATTTTAATTAATATTAATGTCTTCGTTGCTAAATTACTGTCTCCATCAGTTATTTAACTGTCGGAGTCTGTAACGTAACTGTTAATTGACTTTTGTTTTTTGAAATTTTGTATTTTCTGAAAAAAAAAATATTTTAATTAATATTACTGCCTTGGTTGCTAAATTACTGTCCCAGACAATAATATTACTGTTTAGGACAATAATATTAGTAATATTGTTGTTCGAAAATATAATATTCATAATATTATTGTCTGAAACAGTAATTTAGCAGCCAAGACAGTAATATTAATTTAAATAATTTTTTTTAAGAAAAAAAAAATTTAAAAGAAAAAAAAAGTCAACGCCGGAAAAAAAAAATTCAGAAAAAAAATTATTTTCTGAAAAAAATTCAAATAATTATTATTTTGGGGGTTTAATGTGATATATTTGTTTAAATCCGGGGTCAATGTGTACTATTAAGAAAGTTAGAGCATAATGGATGAAATTGATAAGAATTATATTATAATAATATTTTAGACTAAAGACATGGGCCTTTTTGCCATTCACCCTTTTTAATGTTTGTTTTTTTCCACCGGCGGCGTTGACTATTTTTTTCTTTGTTAAAACTTTGTTACTTAAACATTTTTTGCCCATTTAGTTAGTAACAATACTGTGATTGACAGTAATATTAACTATACTACTTGTTTAACACAATAATATTAAAACATTACTCTTTAGCACAGTAATATTAACACAACAAAAATAACTATTATTGTTTAATACAATTAAATTAATATGTTGACCGTTCAACAAAAGCAAACATAAAAGCCAAAAAAAAAATATTGATGTGGTTGACAGTAAAATTACTATAAACCACATGCAACGGCATTAATATTATTAGGTTGACCGATCAACAAAACTAAAAATTAAAGAAAAAAAGACAATATTGATGTAGTTTACAATAGTAGTATTATATTTACAATAATTGTAACGTCAAATTATTTATCCGAGGGGTCTACCTCATATCAGTTTTCCAATTGAGAGAGTGCTGCTAATTTTCCCAAAATATTAACTTCATGCGCGTCAAAACTTTGAATACTTGACTTTTCTTTGCAATGATTGAGGAAAAATAAAATACTGAAGAATGTAAAATGAAATCAGAAATAAATTTAAGCGAAGAAAATAGTTGAATTAATATCCAAAGGGTGGGGACCACCAAATGTTCCGTAAAAGTCCTTCCTAGTTGCTTCGTCTATTAATTCATTCCACCAAACTAAAGAGATAAACGCAAATAAGGCCAACGTAAAAAAAGAAAAAATACACAACTATTCAAATGTCTCTCTATGCTTACATTCTTCTGTTCTTCATCCAACTTGTTGTACTAGTATTCGCAAGCAATGATTGTACGCCGACGAGATGCAGAGGAAACGGCCCGGCGATTCGGTTTCCGTTCCGACACAAACATCGGCAGCCTCAAAGCTGCGGCTACACGGGTTTCGACGTCGATTGCGACCATAACAACAACACCGTGCTCGTGCTTCCGTCCTCGATTAACGTCAATGTTAAGAATATTAACTACGCATCCCAAACGATCCTCGTCTCTGTCCAGGAACATTGTTTTCCACAAAAGCTACCTCGTCTCAACTTATCTGCCTCCCCTTTCCATTTCTTTAACCCAGAATACTTAGCTGATTACATTGTTTTTAATTGTTCTACTCCCGAACGAAGTGTTTTAGGTATGGTGATTACTTGCCTCAGCGATTCTAAATACAAATTCTATGCCTTCAATTCTAACTTTTCAATGGAATCATTTCCTTTGACTTCTTGCACAAGAACTTGTGAAATTTTATCTGCTCCTTGGTATGTTTTTCATAAGAATGAGTTTTACTTGGAGTGGTCTGATCCAAGTTGTAACTATACGAAATTTGATAGTATTCAGTGTCCCGACAAACTACCGACCGAAACTCGAGGTAATTAATTGTCTCGCCTCCTCCATCGTTTAATTGGATATTATTACACATTGTAAAAGGGAGCTGAATATTTATATTTTGCTCCTGTTTGTTAATTACAGGAGCACCAAAGAAGCAACCAAAGAAGCAACTGATTACAGGTGAACTTTTTTCGTCGGTTTTCGATTTGTTTTTTATTTATATTTTTCAATGGGTTTGGTTTAAATTATGACTTATGAATTATGTTTCAAAGGTTTTGGTTGCTTTCTTGCCGCGATAATACTCGCAGCTCTCATTTATCTTGGTATCAGATTTAGAATTGGCAGAGAGAATCAAATCAAGATTGAAAAGTTTTTGCATGATTACAGAGCCCTTAAGCCGAGTAGATTCTCTTACTCTGATATAACAAGGATGACTCATCAATTTCGCCATAAATTAGGTGAAGGGAGTTATGGAATTGTATACAAAGGAAAGTTGAACAATGAAATAAACGTTGCAGTTAAAGTACTCAACAATTCCAAGGGAAACGGGGAGGAGTTTGTGAATGAAGTAAGTACCATTGGGAGAATACACCACGTCAACGTTGTCCGCCTTGTTGGCTTTTGTGCCGATGGATTTCGAAGAGCTCTTGTTTATGAATTCTTGCCAAACGGTTCTTTAGAAAAGTCCATTTCCCAAGAGGGTTCGAATAGAGTTTCTCTTGATTGGGAAAAGCTAAAGGATATTGCATTGGGCGTAGCAAGAGGCATAGAATATCTACACGAGGGATGTGATCAACAAATACTCCATTTCGACATAAAGCCGCAAAACGTCTTGTTGGACCACAACTTCAACCCGAAGATATGCGATTTCGGTCTTGCGAAATTGTGCTCAAAGGAACAAAGTGCAGTGACAATGACCGCGGCTAGAGGAACAATGGGGTATATTGCACCTGAAGTACTCTCGAGGACTTTCGGGAGGGTTTCGTATAAGTCCGATGTTTATAGTTTCGGAATGGTGTTGCTCGAAATAGTTGAAGGGGCGAAAAATGTAGATACTAACGCGGATAACACTAGCAAGGTATATTTTCCTCAATGGATTTACAATCATATAAGTGTTGGGGATAATCATTTTTGGGCACAAATTGATGAAGAAGGAAATAGTATAGCAAGGAAACTTAGTATAGTAGGGTTGTGGTGTATACAGTGGTGTCCGACGGATCGTCCGTCAATGAAAGTTGTGGTTCAGATGTTGGAAGGAGAATGTGACGATCTCACAATGCCTCCGAATCCGTTTCCAGCTGCAAATTCTGTTCCGGAAAGTTATTACGAAGCGGAGTTGCCGATCATATTAGAATTGGAGTGAAGACTAGTTATACCGAAACTTAGGAACCATGTAGAAAAATTATATTTATCACGTGCTTGTTATTTTTTTTTTCAATGTTGCTATATTTATTATATAAGGCTTGCTTGAATCATTAAACATGTCTTTGTGCTCCGTCATAATTAAAATCAGAAAATCTTTGGGCAGCCTGTGAGTTATATTTTGATGGATCTGCTGTTACTGTATTAGCAATGAATAATATCTATTCTATATTTAGGAGTAACGTGAATATGCTAAAATGCCAATGAGATGTAATTTCATTAGTACTAAACATAACTTTTTTTTTTCCAGATAAAAAGTTTCTCTCCTTTACTTAAAAAAATGGCAAATTACAAAAAAAACCCAGATGTAAAGTCTAATTACAAAAACCATCCTCATGTTTGTGTGATTATGAAAATCCCCCTTTAACCGGTGCTTGACGGTTTAAATTTACAAAAAAATGCGTTCTGTCAGTTTTACTCTTCTGTTATTTGAAAAAAAATAATGGGTAAATTACAAAAAACCCCTCATGTAAAGTATAATCACCTCGGAAATTGTGTTGAAACAAAGCAGCTGACTTTGTTTTTGTTTGTATTCGATGAACGGCTGCGACTTAGAGGAGGAAACCAATAGTGTCTATCTCATCACCAACTCCCACTATATATCGCCAAGCTCTTCTTAATCCAACTGGCGTATGGTCATGCTTGACGAATACACTGCATTGATTAAAAATAACACATGGAATATTGTGCCTCGCCCCTCTACTACTAATGTCATCACAGGCAAAAAGTTGTATAAACAGAAACTGCAGGCTAATGGTTCATTGAACAGTATAAAGCGCGATGGGTTGTTCATGGTTTTGATCAACGTCCTGGTATTGATTTCAACGAAACATTCATCCCGGTGGTAAAACCAGCAACTGTTCGGACAGTTCTCAACATTGCTACCTACCTCTGGCCCCTGGCCAGTCCATCAACTCAACGTTAAGACTGCATTCATCCACGGCAAACTCTCTAAAACAGTGTATTGCAAGCAGCCACCAGGTTTTGTTGACCCTACTCGTCCCACTCATGTATGTCGTCTCCCAAAGGCTCTTTATGGGCTCAAACAGGCACCACGTGCGTGGTACGAGCGGTTTTCCAGCTACATATCTCTCTCGGGTTTATCGAGTGCAAATCGGACACCTTCCCCTTTATTTATCGCACTGGTTCCTCAGTTTCTTATCCCCTACTGTATGTTGACGACATTGTTCTAACAACATCCAGTACAGTCACTCTTAAGTCCATCATTACCAAACTCAACCAAGAATTTGTTGTGAAGTACCTCGGCCCCCTACGTTACTTTCTTGGCATATTTGTTGCGCGCTCGCCCCAGGGGATGGTCCTCTCACAACGTAAATATGCCAAGGAGATCCTTGAACGCGCTAAGATGACTTAATGCAACCCGATGGCACGGGAATTTACTCTTGATGGGCTAAAAAAACCCATGGCCCCATATAGCGAGGAAGAGATAGCTATGGTGGAGGCATCTCGCCTTGACGTATTGGAGCATTGTTACATACGCAATGTGGATAAGGGCCTTTTGGCATGTCAAGATCTGGCAGCCTGACACGAACTGTTACACATGCCTTGGGGCAAAATGACGATCACGTTGCATAATGTACAGATAATCCTGGGTTATGTGTGGACAGGCTGGCAGTCGACAGTAATTTTGCGGGCGAGAGAGCGGGCAGTGTGAGCTGCAGTTAGCAGAACTTCTGAATCCCGATCTAGATGATGCCTATGAGTATTTTAGGGGTGTTGAATTCCTTGGACGGAGATTCGCGAACGGGTGCTCCAAGAAGATGGGACCGGCAAACAGATGGTCATTCGCAAACGGGGGCCTCATGAAAATATATGTCTCGATATAAATACCCGGAAACTTCACAATCAAAGGTACGCTATTCATACATCCTGAGCAGTCTCTTGAATTCTTTGAATTCTTCTATCATACAAAGCTGACTTGAGCGTCGGAGGGATCAAGAAGTGCGAGAGAGAAATTGCAAAACGTGACGTGGAATCGTACCACATCACACCCATTGACGAATTATAGCAGAATACACTAACTAAATGCGTACCATACACATCTAGAATTAAGAGATTAAAGTAATTATATGATAAGGCCTCGTTTGGTTGTCAAGATAAAATTAGCCTAGATAAGATTAATAATTTAATGGAACTCGATTATATTATTGGACCTTCGATGATCCAAAAAACATGCCTATAAGGCAAGATAAGCCATGATAACATAATATTTGCAAGTCGATCCGGCAAATTATTAGGGATACCAAACATCTAACAAAATTCTATTATTTAGTTAATGATGGCTAATCTCCCCAACCAAACGAGGCATAAGTAGTATAAATAATAGAATTATTTTGTTCCTAATAAACGATTATTTGACTTTGTGTGTTTCAGTACATACTAAATATGCTAGCACACTAATTAAAACAATAAATTCACTATTTTAGCCATAAAGATCTCTCGGCTAGATGCAAAACCAATATTGTTTCTAAACTCGAAGTTATTTCAGAAATCAAGGTTATGAGCCATGCATTGTGTGAAATACATTCACATGAATGTTTCAACAGAAAAAAATAAATTAAAATTACATATGACTTAAGAGGGAGGAAGTTTTAGGGGTGTATGAATCATTAACCTCATATCCTCCGTCATTTGTTGTGGAGAAGTGAACTCATCACCACTACCAGACGAGTACAAATAATAACCGATTTTGCACGTCTCCGAGAACAAATCTTTGCATCTTCTAGGAAGAACACTTCCTCTTTGATAAACCATTCTCAACAGTTTTCTCCTGTTGTACTCTACCAATTTTCCTATCTCCGAAACGACCATCTCTTCATCTTTATCACGAGCTTCGTTTAGAATGCTCACTGCATTTAACTTCTTTTCTTCTTTCTCCTTCTGTCGGTTAAAGCAATTTTACATTACTCAAGTTCCGAATTACAACCACTTTAATTTTTAACTTTTTTTATTCCCCGAGAATTTCTCTAGTAAACATATTAAGTAATGATATTGTCGCAACTAGTATGTACCTGAAAAGATTGAAGATCGTTCAATAGACGGTTGACCGTGCTAACATGTATGCACAAGTTAGTACATTCTTCACCCAAAATCATGTCGTCGGATAATCTTATACCCATGAAATGGATGGAAGTGAGAATGCAGATTCTGCAACCGATTGACACCCAAGCAAAAGACAAGTACTCGTCCAAGGTCATTGCAGCATCGTCGCACCATGTGTCCAATTCTCTAACGAAGCTTGTAAGAATTTGAACCCACTGCTCAAATTAGAAAAAAAACATTACATTAGTAACTCCATAATCACTTCAGCCTCATTTGGTTGGGGAGATTAGCTATGATTAACTAAATAATTGGACTTTGTTTGATTTTTGGTACACACAATAACTTCCAGGGTCGACCCGCAAATATTCTGTTATCATGGTTTATCTTTGTCTTTTAGTGAGTTTCTTTGTTGGACCTTCCACCGTCCAATAATACAACTGGGTTTAGTTAGATTATTTAATCTTATCTTGGCTACCAGACGAGGCCTTAATAAAGTAGACTGTTTAAATAATGCAATTAGTACCAGGTTAATTAGATGATGTTTAACACAACGGCCTTGCTCGACAGAAGCCTTTTCTGCCAACTCGTTTACGGTTCGGTACACCGCGGAAAAGAGTATCTCAACTTCTTGCGAACCATAATCTACAGCTGGCTTCTCCTTCCACCTATTATTCTTCCGTGAGATTTGTACGATATAGTGTGTACTCGAAATATACAGTTAACCTATTAAAAAAAGAAAAGAAAAAAAAACATAAGGAAAAACATAAGGAATAAGAAACATACTCTTTTACTAATTCTAGGATCTTGTGTGATTCTTCTCTAGAACCGTGATGATCGAAAAAATCATCGATACGTGTTACAAGCACAACATGTTTGGCGTAGGACATTCGAGCATCAACCAATTGCGGATCGCCAATAACTGTTGATGCGATAAAATGAGCAACATGTAGTACATTTCGTCCGTAGTTCAACCGGTCCAACCCACAATCTTTGTACCACCTGTATACATATATAGTTGATATTTTTTTGTTGAATAATAAATTAATGTATTTTGCCCTTATTGTGGAGGTACCTCTCTAATTGCTGAAACTCTTTCTGGTGTAAAGCTTGGCAATGATTAAAATCTTGCCGCGCGAATACGAGAAAGTCTTGGTTATATATTGTGGGGCACCTATTTCGCGGAGAGGAAACAAATATTTTGTTAAAAAAAAAAACCGAGACGTGTGCATGACAATGTTGGAATGTTTCTTTTTACCTATACGCGGTTTTCATAATTTGGTAATTATCCACGTCGTATAGATCAAGGCTTCGTCTATTTCCAACTCGTCCTAGTATGCCGTGGAAGTTCTTCAACTCGTATTCCACCTTATAATATTGACAACAGCTATTACATTTTGATAATTACTAAACGGTGAGTACGTACGCAAACACAAACGTAGCTATTACCTTTTTTTGCAATTTCTTGTCAAAAATGGTTTCACTACGCAACTGCTGCTTCAGAAATTTGCTGGTCCAATCATTTATAGCGTCGAGAGTTGTTTCTTCTTCGTGTATTGATATATGCGATGCTCGGTAAAGCTCAAGAACCGTACTCACGCCGGTCGTTTCTAGGTTAACGTGATCTTGCTCGGCATATGGAGCCAATTCATCTGAAACAATTAATTAACTTTATTATTCGGTGCACATATATCAGACTGAAAAACCAACAACACGTACGCCACATGCAAAAGTACCCGACGAGACTTCAAATCCTTTGATCCGCAATAGTCTAAATGCCACGGCACAACAAGTAATGTCTGTGAAAATCTCTTCTTCTTTCCGTTTCCATAGTCTGAGCGATCACACACCGGTATTTTATTGTACACGGGAGGAGCATTAATTGTTGTTATAATATGTATCAAATATATATTAATATATATGTTACAGTGATGTCTTCTTTTATTTTTGGTTACGTCATCCGTTCCACAGTATCTGTCACTTTTGAGGATTTTTTTTCTTCATATTATCTGTTACTTTAGAATTACAATACTGCATTAACTCCGTAATTATAAAATGTATCCCTATTATATATGTCCAACACCCTATCTTATAAATTAGTGGCAAGGGCATTTTAGACTAAGGTGGTGTTTGCAAATGATTATTTAAAAGCAGAAGTTAGTGATTGTGATTTAAGTTAGTTTTAAGTGCTTATTTCTAAAAGTTGGGGGTGTGATAAGTGTTCGTTTTGCACGATTTTTGCTTATCGAATCTTCGAGTTTTGGTCTTCGTTCGTCCGAGTTTCGGCTTTATTTGTATATATTATTGCGTTTCTTGTTTTATTTCTTTTTTTAGGTTTTGTTAGCTTTTGTTGCCAAGTCGAAGCCATTTGGAAGCGAAACCGATTTTTCAAGCCGAGAAAGTGGTCAATAAGACCCAGATCGCGATCCAGGAAAGTCGGATCGCGATCTGGGGGCAAATTCCAGTAGCAAGCAAAGTTCAGACCCAGATCGCGATCCAGGAAAGTCGGATCGCGATCTGGTGACAAATTCCAGTGGCAATCAATATTCAGACCCAGATCGCGATCCGCACTTCCTGGATCGCGATCTGGGAGGCGGTTCACGTTTTTTTTGAGAAGCCAGATCGCGATCTGACTTTATTGGATCGCGATCTGGCACGATTTTCAAGGGCAGATATTTTAAATTGCAAAGCTTCTTGAGGAAGCTTTGCAATTTACTATAAATAGAAGCAAGCCCTCACTCTTCATTCTTCTTCGACTTTTTACGGTTTTCAACGGTTCTTCGCGGGAATCATCAACGGGGGTTCCGACTTGGGTTTTTCTTACGCAATTTCTTTACGTTTTGTTCTTCATTTCCTTTGTACATTCTTTTGATACTATGTTTGTTATGAACTAAGAACATTTTCTTCTGGGGTAATGAAGCCTTGTATATATTGATTTCGATCGTCATTTCTGCTATCTATTTGTCGTGTTTTGATTTCGTTTATGTTTTCCTGTATTAAATGCTTCTGATTGTGTTGATCAGCTCTCAGACTGATATTAAATAGGAATGAACTCGAGAGAGGATTTCTTGTTTGAAGTTAGGAGAACATAGCTCGGGGTGTGGAAACGGAGACGTGATGCACTTCGGGTAGCCCTTAAGGACTTGACCTAAATGCTCTCTTAATAGCAGGTTCTGAACGGAGACGTCGGACCTGTGGGTAGACTCTAGCTACACTGGAGACGGGGGTTAGAGTATATTAGCGTCTGGGTTAACGAATAGGAACGTGATTTTAGATAGCGGATTTGTCGATCGTTGTTGATTATACCTAGGTGGATTTGGCCCTAGAAGTCCCCTTTAAATCGAAGTCCCCCGCGTTGATTTGTCGTTACTTTATTTTACGTACATTCTATATTTGCATGTTTACGTTCTTGCATGCTTTTAAATTAGGGTTTCTCACCAATCCACTTATTTACGATCGGCTAGATAATATAACGATAATATAATTACACTACTCAGCAATTGAATCTACAAGGTCCCTGTGGATCGATATCCGGAACCACTGTTCTGCAAAATGCGATACCGTATACTTGCGGTAATTTATACGTGAGGAAAACGCGTATCAAGTTTTTGGCGCCGTTGCCGGGGACCAATTTGATTTTATCTTTGCTGATAGTGTTACCAATTATCTGAGTATTACTTTAGCCATTTACTTGTTTTATTTTCGATTTTTACCTTGATCTTAACCACTCACTTTGTTTATGCCCAGGCGTCGAAATTTGGAAATCATACCTTACGATCCCGAGATTGAAAGGACATTACGTAGACTAAGGGCCACGCGCAACCAACAAAGTGAACCAATGGCCGAAGATCAAGGAAATCCAGAGCACCTGGCCTTTGAGTACGATCAAGAGCCAGGACGAGATCACGAGCAGCCAAGACCGAACCTGCCACCCGAGCGAACAATGCGAGAATACCGAACTCCAGCTATGAATGAGAACTATTCGGGAATCAGGAAACCGACGATAGCCGCAAACAACTTCGAGCTGAAAACGGGGCTAATCAACATGGTCATGGCGAACCAATTCTCCGGAGCAGCCACTGCGGATCCGAATCTCCATCTTGCCAATTTTTTGGAAATTTGTGACACGATCAAAGTTAACGGCGTTTCTGATGATGCCATTCGGTTGAAGCTATTCTCATTTTCTGTCAGAGACAAAGCGAAGAGTTGGCTTCTGAGTCTTAATCCAGGATCACTCACCTGTTGGGAAGAATTATCACAAGCCTTTCTGGCACGATTCTTTCCACCCTCGAAGACCGCACAACTACGAAGAGATGTAGGCAACTTCAGACAGATGAGCCAAGAGCCGATGCACGAGTCTTGGGAGAGATTCAAGGACTTATTACGACAATGCCCTCAACACGGATTCAACCCGTGGGATCAAATGGAGTTATTCTACAATGGGCTCGATCAACCAGCCCGATCTCTAGTCGATGCTGCTTCAGGTGGATCATTACAAAACAAGACTCCCACAGACGCTCGAGACATTGTCGAGCGAATGTGTGAGAATGCGTACCATTGGCCGTCCGAACGGAGTGGTGTACAAAAGGTGGCCGGAGTCCATCAACTCGAACCTTTAGCCGCAGTTTCAGCACAATTAGCGATCCTATCAAATCAGGTCGCCCAAATTTCAGTTCGAGGGCCACAGACCGAACGAGTAGCAGCAGCAAGTACCTCACAAGCCACAAACGACGATTGGGAGCAGGCACACTTTATGAACCACCGATTCAACAATTTCCGAGGAACCAACAATCAGAACCAAAACCCTACTCATTACCACCCGGGAATTCGGAATCACGAGAACTTCTCCTATGCCAATCCGAAGAATGCTCTACAACCACCTCCCGATTTCAACCATCAAAGAGAGCAACGAGGGCCAACGTATGACGAGCGTCTTCACCGACAAGAACAGGAAATGGAGGGGCTGAAATCAACAATGAAGAACATGGAAAAGCAAATAGGGCAAATCGCCCAATCCATGTCCACAATGGCAAAGGGTGGATTCCCGAGCAATACCGAAGTCAATCCAAAAGAAAGCTGTCAAGCCATAACCACCCGAAGTGGTCTGCAAATGACCGATCCTCCTTATCCGACAGACGAATCACCAAGGCCAGCTGTACAACCGACCCCGGTCGAGCCGGAAATCACCGTTTCAGGGAGTAATACAAAAGAGGCTAGTAAGCCCAATAACATTTCTTTTCCTGATAATCCCCCTCTTATGGTAACTCCTATTCCTTTTCCAGAAAGACAGAAGAAGAAGAAGTTCAAGGATCAATTGAAGAAGTTCATTGAAAAGATCAAGCAGATTCGAATCAACATCCCTTTTGCAGAAGCCTTGGAGGTAATGCCAAACTACACCAAGTTCATGAGGGAAGTCCTATCCAAGAAAATTCGAATCGAAGAAGACACACCAGTGACACTCACGGCAACTTGCAGTGCCATTCTTCAGTCGAATCTGCCACCAAAAATGAAAGATCCAGGGAGTTACACTATTCCTTGCATTATTGGCAATTCTACTTTCGATAAAGCTTTATGTGATTTGGGGGCAAGTATTAATTTGATGCCTATGTCTGTGTTTCTAAAACTGGGCTTAGGAAATTTGAACCGCACTCGCATGACTTTACAGCTAGCTGATCGCTCATTGAAATATCCCGATGGGATTGTAGAAGATGTGCTAGTTAAAGTAGATAAATTCATTTTGCCTGTTGATTTTGTGGTACTTGAAATGCCTGAAGATGATGAAGCACCAATCATTTTAGGTCGTCCATTCTTAGCCACTGGTAAGGCGATGATTGATATGGAATTAGGATCTTTAATGCTTAGGGTAAATGGGGAAGAAGTTGTTTTTAATTTGACAGATGCATTTAAACACTCTGAGCATGTTGAGCATTGCAGTAGAATAGACGTGATCGAGGACTGTGTTTCCTCCTTTTTTGATTTGTGTGAATTATGTGATTCTGTTGAGCACTGCATTGTTAATTCTATTGATTTGCATTCTGCCTCCCCTGAAACCCCTATTGAAAATGATGTGCTTGATTGTGTGTTGTTTCTTGAGTGTGCCGAGATTTTAGGCATAGACGAGGTAGGGATCGTCCCCGAGATACCAGTTAGTGTGAAAACGGCTCCCGTACTGGAATTGAAGCAATTACCGGATTATCTTTGTTATGCTTTTCTTGGAGCAGACCAGACTTATCCGGTGATTATTTCTTCTAGTTTGAGCGAGGCCGAAACAAACACACTGCTGGAGGTCCTTAGAGAATATAGGTCAGCTATAGGTTGGTCTATTGAGGATATTAAGGGAATTAGCCCATCTATTGTTCAACACAAAATTCTAATGGAAGACGTCTATAAACCGAGAGTCCAACCTCAGAGGCGGTTAAACCCGTCAATGAAAGAGGTAGTCAAAAAAGAAGTCTTGAAATTGTTAGGCGCTGGTATGATTTATGCAATTTCTGACAGTCCGTGGGTCAGTCCGGTGCAGGTTGTGCCAAAAAGGGGTGGGATGACGGTTATTGTGAATGATAAAAATGAACTTATTCCGTCTAGAACAGTCACTGGGTGGCGTGTGTGTTTCGATTACAGATTATTGAATGCAGCCACTAGAAAAGACCATTTCCCCCTTCCCTTTATCGATCAAATGCTAGACAGGCTAGGAGGTTTCGAGTATTACTGTTTTCTTGATGGTTATTCGGGGTACAATCAAATTTCAATCGCCCCGGAAGACCAAGAGAAAACTACTTTTACTTGCCCCTACGGTACTTTTGCATTTCGTAGGATGCCTTTCGGTTTGTGTAATGCGCCTGCTACCTTTCAACGTTGTATGATGTCTATATTTCACGATATGGTAGAAGAGTTTCTTGAGGTGTTTATGGATGATTTTTCTGTGTTTGGATCGTCTTTCGATCATTGTGTGCACAATCTAGAACTTGTTTTGAAAAGATGTACAGAAACGAACCTTGTTTTAAATTGGGAAAAATGTCATTTTATGGTTCGTGAAGGTATTGTTCTAGGCCACAAGGTCTCGAAAAAGGGTCTTGAGGTGGATAGGGCAAAAATCGAAACGATTGAAAAATTGCCTCCACCAAAGGATGTGAAGGGAGTTAGAAGTTTTTTAGGGCATGCTGGGTTTTACCGTAGATTCATTAAAGATTTTTCGAAAATAGTAAAACCATTATGTCATTTGCTTGAGAAGGAAGCTGTCTTTGATTTTGATTCTGCTTGTTTGCAGGCTTTCACGTTTCTCAAGGAGAAGCTAACCCAATCACCGATTATGATTACTCCCAATTGGGAGGAACCATTCGAGATCATGTGCGATGCGAGCGACTATGCTGTAGGTGCTGTATTGGGACAAAGGAGGGACAAAATCTTCAAAGCCATCTACTATTCGAGTCGTACACTTGACCAGGCACATAAGAACTATTCAACGACCGAAAAGGAAATGCTTGCAGTCGTTTATGCTGTTGACAAGTTCAGACCGTATATTTTGGGGTCTCAGGTGATCATTTACACCGACCACGCAGCTATTCGATACTTGTTCGCGAAGAAGGACGCCAAGCCCAGACTCATCAGATGGGTACTACTACTCCAGGAGTTCGACTTGGAAATCAGAGACAAAAAAGGGAGCGAGAATGTGGTAGCAGATCATCTTTCCAGACTCATACTAGAAGAAGTTCCAGCCGAAGGAAATATTCAGGAATCCTTCCCAGACGAGCAACTGCTCGCCATTAGTACTCACACTCCGTGGTATGCTGATGTGGCCAACTTCTTGGCCAGTGGAATCATTCCTGACGATCTATCGTATCACCAAAAGAAAAAATTCCTTCACGACAGTCGTTTCTATCTTTGGGACGAGCCATTGCTTTTCAGAACCGGCCCCGATCGAGTCATCCGAAGATGTGTTCCGGAAACAGAAGTACGTGAGATTCTCACACATTGCCACTCTTCACCCTGTGGCGGGCATCACGGGGAATCTCGCACTGCCGCCAAGGTTCTGCAGTCAGGCTTCTTTTGGCCAACCCTTTTCCGTGATAGTTACGAGTTCGTGAAACGGTGTGATCGGTGCCAACGAACAGGGAACCTATCCAACAAAAGCCAAATGCCTTTGAACAACATGCAAGAGGTGGAGCTTTTCGATGTTTGGGGCATAGACTTCATGGGACCATTCCCTTCTTCGAACGGAAAGTTATACATTCTGCTTGCCGTGGACTACGTGTCCAAATGGGTCGAAGCGATTGCCACCACGGCCAACGATGCTCGTACGGTCCTCAAATTCTTCCACAAGAACATATTCTCAAGGTTTGGGACACCCAGGGCGATCATTAGCGATGAAGGATCTCACTTCTGCAACAAACTGCTCACTAATCTCACGAACAAGTTGGGAATCCGACACAAAATTGCGCTTGCCTATCATCCACAGACAAATGGCCTTGCTGAGTTGTCAAATCGAGAAATCAAACAGATTCTGGAGAAGACCGTGAGCACGAACCGAAAAGATTGGGCATTGAAGCTCGATGATGCACTTTGGGCCTATCGAACCGCATTCAAAACACCGATTGGTATGTCTCCGTACAAACTCGTGTATGGGAAAGCCGTGCCACCTGCCAGTGGAATTGGAGCACCGAGCATATTGGGCAGTCAAAAAGCTCAATTTCGATCAAACAGCTACCGGCGATCGTCGATTGCTTCA